AAAATTTTTGGAGAGAAAATTGGGATCTTGGAAACTCAGGGGAATGTACTTCAGATACATTTGGAGACTTAGAAATGTGTGAAGGATGCTCTAGATGAAAATAGGATGAGAATGTGATTCTAAAATAAAAAAAATAGGCTTAATATAATTGTCCTAATCTTCAAAGAAATATCCATTTTAAACAGAGTATCCATCACAAACCTAATGATACATAGAATAAAAATTTAAATTACATTATGATTTATATCAGAATTAACCATTGGAATTTCCATTGCCACCTATCAATGATTATTTATTTCAGATTTATCTATCTTCTTGAAATTTCTTTTTAAAAATATTTCATTCATGGGCTGGAGAGATGGATCAGTGGTTAAAAACACTGACTGTTCTTGCAGATAACCCAGGTTTGAATCCCAGCAGCTAACAACTGTCTGTAATTCCAGTTCCAGGGGATCTGACAGCCTCTTCTGTCTTCCATGGGCATTGCAGGGCACAGGTGCACTTACCTACTTGCAGGAAATATATGTATACACATAAATAAAAATAATAAATAAAATATTTTAAAAAATTTAAATAAAAATATTTCATTCATTATTTTTCTTTTATGTGTGTTTTGCCTGCATGTGTGTAAATGCAACCATATGGTGCAATACCCAAAGATGTCTGAAGAGGGCACTGGATCCCTTGGAACTGGAGTTACAGTGGGTTGTTAGCCCACTGGGTGGGTACTGGGAACCAAACCTGGGTCCTTTGCAAGAGCAGCCAGTGTTCTTAATTGTTATGCCATCTCTCAAGCCCCATTGAAATTTCCTTAAACTTATTTCTCATGGTCATTTTAGGTAAATTGATTTTTGTTAACAATTAGTTTTGCCCAACTATTAATGTGTTGGTACTTTCCAGTGTGTAGCTCCAGAGTTCAGATCACAGTTAAGTGGCTTATTTGCATGGCTGGAATAACTATTTCATATTTTCAGCTTGTATAAAGATCTTGAATATTTATCACTCAGATACTATTGTGAGATTAATGGCCTGCTGATGATTTCTGCACTCATCTGCTTGAGTGTCATCCTAGGTCATTAATTGAAGTCCCTCAGTGAGGGATGAATCAGTATGAATATGATATACAGTCTGAGTATGATGCTCTATAATTAAGACTATGAATTGTATACTTTATTTAGTTACATTATTTAAGGATGTGTTGCCCTGTCATCTACTACTGATAACTTTTCTGATAGGCTATAAAATTAAGTAGGCAATAGAAGAAACTTTCAAACCCAATGAGGAAACTACTTACACAGATGAATATTAAAAAACAGTGAAAATTGTTTTAACTTCTCCATAGAAAGTCATTTGTCTTACTTTTCTATAAGACACTTGATAGTCTATAGGGTCGAATCTAAGCTAGAATCAGAACAAGATTAAAAATAATGAAGACAACTGGCCATGGTGATGCATGCCTTTAGTCCAACACTTGGGGGAGGGGGAGGTGCTGCTGGGGCAAGTGGATCTCTATGAGATGAATGTCAGCCTGGCCTACATAGTGCATTCCAAGACAGTTGGGATTACAGGCAGACCCAGTCTCTCATATATATATATATGTATATATGTATAACTTTGGATGGCAGTTTGGGAATAAGAAAGAATAAAAGAAATTGACCATGACAGTTTTAAAAGTTAATAGAGTGCTCAAAGATGAACAGTAGAGTGAAGGAAGTCCAAGAGAACACAGAATGGCGATTCTGCAGCTGTCTCTTGAATGTTAGCAGAGACTCTTCCCACCTAGTGCGCCACAGACTTCACATTGCAAATATTTAGAATACCTTAGGTAAAATGTTTTACTTTGTTTTCTTTTTCATCTTTTATTGAATTGCAAACTCCACATGATATATTTTGATAATATTTAGACACTCCCATCTATCTGCAACCCTGTTAATAAATTCTGCCTAATGTCATGTACTACGTTCTATATATTAAAGCCTATGTAGTCAAATTTGTACTCTCAAATACCCTTCACAGTGGTTCAAAATGCCATTCAGAGTGGTTCAGTTCCTTCATCAGTTCTTTTAGCTTACATCGTGTGTGTGTGTGTGTGTGTGTGTGTGTGTGTGTATGTGTGCGCGCACGCAAGCACACATGGACCTCATACATTTGAGAGTCCTTTTGCTGATTTTACTTGTAATAATTGGTTTATGAAATTTCTGTTAATCATTTACTTGAAATAATGTTTAAAAGTTTGGTTTTTATATTTTTAAAATTGTCAGTTTATTCTTTTATTATGTGATATATGTGTGTGCGTGCATGTGTGTTTGTGTATGTGGGGGGGGCATGCATGTGTACTTGCAAGTGGAGGCCAGAGGTCCACAATGGGTGTATGTCTTTTCTCAATCACTCTCCACCTTGGTTTTTAAGACAGGGTTTCTTATTGAAACTAGGACTAGACTGGTTGTTTAGCAAGCCTAGGTAATCCCCTGTCTTGGTCTCCAGAGCACTGAAATTATATATAGGTCCTTACTTCTTATGTGGGTGCTGAGATTCCAAACCCAAGTGTTAATGCTCAATAGATTACTTTTATAAATTGAAAGTAAGGGGCTAGAACAATAGACTTTATAAGATTATCAAATGAGGAAAGCATTCTTGAGAGCATTTTACTGTTTTGAGCCAGTTCTTTTATTTTGACTAATAGTGCTCTTATGAATGCAGACCCCACCATCAGTATATGGACACCTTTTTTTTTTTTCAGGTCAAAAGGTGTGTTTTCCAGATCTGAAGCATCCTTGCTACAAAATGGCCTACTTCCATGAATTGTCCAGCCGAGTGAGCTTTCATGAGGCCCGCCTAGCTTGTGAGAGTGAAGGAGGTGTCCTGCTCAGTCTTGAGAATGAAGCCGAACAGAAGTTAATAGAGAGCATGTTGCAGAACCTGACAAAACCTGGTACAGGGATTTCTGATGGTGACTTCTGGATAGGACTTTGGAGAAATGGAGACAGTCAAACATCTGGTGCCTGCCCAGATCTCTACCGGTGGTCTGACGGAAGCAGCTCTCAGTTCCGGTAAGCAAGGACAAGATCCTGAAGAGTTTAGTGGTGCCTTGCAGGAGTAAAAGAGTGAAGAGGGGAAGTTCTGATTCCCTTAGAAGCACTCAGAACACATGTTTCTAATGTCTCCATGGCTCTCCACTTGTAGGAACTGGTACACAGATGAGCCTTCCTGTGGAAGCGAAAAGTGTGTTGTGATGTATCATCAACCTACTGCCAACCCTGGCCTTGGGGGTCCCTACCTTTACCAGTGGAATGATGACAGGTGCAACATGAAGCATAATTACATTTGCAAGTATGAACCAGGTAAGAGATATCAGCACTGGTAGCAGATTTAGTGCATACTTGTTTGTAGTAGACTTGATCTTTGAGGTTGTCTACCTTCTCTCTCTCTCTTTCACCTGTGAACTAGGAGTTACTTCATAGTGTGCCCTATCAATGTACTGAAACATGTTTGCAATAGAGAAAACTGCCCCATGGGCTAAATAAAAGTAATAAAACATCTGTCTGGAGGGGGCAGATTGGGAGAAAATAATTATTTCTAAAAAAAGAAATACTAAGTTTTACTATTATAATCATGTTTTATGAAGGCAGATATATAAGCCAAAATATCTTAAAAGTTTATAAGAATGTGCTGACAACAGGTACATGTCACCAAAATACCTACAGAAGTAAACATGTGAGCAATGTTTCTTCAGTTGCTTCCTTCTGCATTTAAGGGAAGGGAACACCTTTCTCCAGGAATATTAGCTTAGTGTGTCAGAGCATAGTGAATTCCAGGTGATCCTCCAATTGATTATTAGCTCCTTACAACATAATTCAAAAGAATAAGGCATGTTACACACTCTACTTCTGGTTTCTGTCCTTTGACTACTGATTTCCATCTCTCACTGTGCCACCACGGACAGCCTTTTGAAATATCCAATACTTGCCAGGACGTGTACCAACTGGGAAATATTACATTGACCTAAGGTATAACACTGTGGTTTCCTGCTGAATGCAGTAAAATTGAATTAGTTTAATATACCACCGCAAATGAATTAGAAATTGCCTGAAGAAGGACTGATCTAAGATGTGCAAACCAATGTTTTTGATCACCTTAGAAACTCAAGCTTGATATTTAAGCTTTGAGATTGTTTTGATCTTTTTTGTATCTTCAATGAAAGCGTCATTTAGCTTTTGTGAAGGGCTGTTGGCTTGACCTCATCATATGTGTTCATGGAAGGCAATTATAACCAAGTAGTCACGCTCCCATTATCTCTTGAAATTACATTACTTCTCTTCTCATAAAACCATAAAGCACAAGGGATTATTTGGATTATACTTTCTCTTCTCATATGTTTATCCTTCTCTTGAGTATAATAGTAAGTTTTTACATCCCTGGTGAGTTTATTCTTTGCCCTTGCCAGCTAAATCTATCATTATACTCCTAGAAGCCTCTGCTAAGCCATTATTCACTTGTGTTCTTCTGTTTGTCTCTTAGAAAAATGTAAAGCTAAGATTCTGTGATTTTTTAAAAAAAATTGGCAATCTAAGTGCTTAAAGTATTGAATTGAAATAAAGCATATTGTATAGTATTTTTAATCAAATATGATTTTCTCCTTCCTCTTGATCTTTTAAATCAGTTATTTGGCCCTTCATTGTATTTCATTTATTTATTTTATATCATTTTCATTCAGACTTACCCCACTATTTAAGACACTATCAACATTGCAATATTCTTTGTTTGCTTTGCATTAGAAACCTACGTTTGTATTACCACACGAGAACATTTAAGACATAAAGTTATTACCTTATTTTCTACATCCTATGCAGATGTTCAAATAATTTATATTTATTTAAAGAAGTTTTATTTCATTCATCTACTTTGTGTATGTCACATGCAAGGCTGTCAATATTATTTAGAATTTTACAATTTATTTTAAGCATTTTAGCTTTTTTGTATTTGTTTCTTTCAACTTAGTTTGGCTTTCTTGAACCTCATTCTACTTTGTAAAGGATGATGGTCTATCTGAATTTCTTGGAATGAGGAGTGTAGCTAAGAAAAACATATGACATACACCCTTGATCATTATGAAATTTATTAACTTTTCTAGAATTATGGTATATGAATTTTGTCTCATAATTCTACTCCTACACACCATTTATCATGACCAATGACATTACAAAGGGTGGATTAAATAACCTAGCTATTCAGAAATAAGACAATTCACTTTCAAATTTTCTTCCTCACCTCTTCTTGTAATTGGCCTGTAATACACATCTACTCTCCAGTCCACCAATGTCATTCAAAGACACTTTCATGACAGTATTTCTAAATCTAATTTTTGTGTTAAAATTGCTTTATTGAGCTAGAGAGATGATTAAACAGGTAAAGGTGTTTACTGGAAGCCTGAGGACCTGAGTTCAACCCTGGGACCTACGTGGTGGGAGGAGAGAACTTGCTACTGTTACTACTGCAAGTTCTCTTCTGACCACACACACAACGTGGCATGTGCACATACCACCATAAATAAGTGTAATTTATAAAAAAAATTTAAATTGCTTTATGAACTTGTTTTTAGTTACTAAAAGGAGCACATTTAGAATTAAGTTATTAACCTCTTATTTCATCAACAATCATATTAAAGTTTGTTAAAATTCACAGAAAGTCACAGTTGTCCAAAATGTAGAGAGTAAGGGACAACAGTGTGCAGGTCCCTGAATAGGACTTCTGTATTAAACCTCTGCCACCCAAGGCTCTTCTGCTCATTGCAGAAGAGGGGTGGAAAGTGCCAAAGGTGGTGAATGAGAAACAGAGCTTGGCAGGTACCTGGGAACTTGCTCACATGAACTTACAGTAGTGGTGACAGCATAAGAACCATGTAAACTCAAACCAGACAAAAACGTAGCATAGAACTGGAGGTATGAGAGGGAAACACCAACCTTCGCTGAGGAACTCTTGGCAGCTGATCACTGCTGGGTAAGAGAGAAATGGTCTTTACAGTAATGATCCTAGATAGCCTGATCAGGATCCAGTAGATGAACTCACACTGAGGGAAATGTGAGGACACAAATGTGACTACATAGGCCTTAACATATGTGATAGAATGTGTGAAATTGGCAGGAGGATGATGAGGAGTGTGGATAAGGAGGGGGGCATGATCTAAATGTGGTTAAGATGTATTTTAGGAAATACACAAATATTCAATAAAATTAATAAAACGTTTGTTAAAATTGTTTTAATATTTTAAATGATTTTGCTGATGATTAATACCTATAATTTGTTCAAAAGCATCAGTTGAGCCCTTACATTCATAGGACAGCTATGTTCTGTAGAAATATGAGTATAGGTTTGGTGTATAGTATAGAATCTTAACCTGTAGTATGCCAATAAAGCATCAAGGTTAAAGTCATTAACCATTGCTACAGAGTAGTAGATAGTTAAACTTCCAATGAATCAAAACTATATGATGATATGCACATTCCTTA